GCTGTTTGGTTGATATTCTATTGTCAGGGAGTCACCCCGCAAGTGTTTGGGCGCGCAATGGCCCGCACTAGCGCATGAGCATTTGAGGCTGAAATGGGCTGAAAGAAAAAAAGATGGCTGAATTATCCGAAGCCGGGCCCCCGGAGACTCCACAAAACACATGCGAAATTTTGTCAAAGTAGCTGCCGAGCTACCCCCTCGTTCGCTTCAATTGGAAAAGCCACGCTTCCCATGTTGATCATGATTTTCAAACGTCCACCGGTACTTGTGTGACGAACTGCTGATGTGTGTGAGACCTGTTGGACAGTGAACCACGCAGCATACGGCGGCATCATACCCCTAAGCCCAAGAAGCTAAATGTGAGATGCATATGTGACCACGGCTTTGCAGCTCGGGAACCGGTTCCCCATTAAAACGCGCGTTACGACTACGTCGGGGGTAGTCATAACATTTGCCTGTTTTTGCGATGAAAAGCTTGGGTTCACGCATGTGAAACAACGATGTGAATAATGCTGCTTGCTGGGAAATGCAGCAACACAAAAATCATGACAATTACCTTCTTCCCCGGTGAAATGCTGGCGTTGGGGACAGCTGATGAAGATTCAATTGGGGAAAGTATACATCACCGGATGCAATTCCCCGAGGGGGTGCTGTGTTCTGTACAGGCGGGCAGAAAGTGCCTCTTATGTGGCAAGCGCCAATTTTTGCAGTACGTTTTATATGCATTTTGCCCACCGTACTTCAGCAAATCCCCAAGGAAACGCTGTATGTCGCGGGATTTGCACCCGAAACCCGAAGGAAATTCCGTCTGTAGTGGCGGATTTTACAACAGGAACGAACTGCTGATCTTGCCCTGGCATTTTGCCACAAAGGTCATCCATCAAATCGCTGCGAACGGCCGTTCCAGTACGGTAGTTGGGCGGGAACGCCCATTCCAGCACATAAGTTGCACTACCCACCAGGGAACGAAAATGCACGAAGTCGTGGGGAAGTCAAAGTTGCAAGGTACCAGAAATGAGGCAAAGAAAATCAAAGAAATAAGAAACGAGTTTCTATTTTAACACGGGACACGGGGAGAGAAACAGGGATTGATTGGATGGCGTGAGGTTTGATTGATGAAGCCATGTGAATGGCATGATGTGAAGAGTTTCTTGCATGATTGTCGTGGGGTACCGGGATGGGACGTGAGGTTGATAGCATTGCAATGCTTTTGTGAATATATTTCTGATGTGAGGTTTTCGTATGATTTTCGCCTGGTCAGTAGACAAAGCGTGTCCTGACACTGGCGCGCACATCCGGCCTTTGACAATGGCAGGAGTTGCAAGCCAGCAACGGACCGTGGTGCACGAACCCGAGCAGACGGGAAAAGCACGGGCGCAAAATACCATTATCTTGTGAAGGGAACACTGGGGGCCAGGTATGGCCAGGTGGGGGGAGGATGAGAAATGGGTAAGGGGCTGTGGTGGGCAGGGAAGGGTGGGAGGAAAGGCGAGGACAGAAGGGGGCGTTCTGAATTCATGAGAGGACGGATTGTGCTGTTTTTTCGCGGGCCAGAAGGAATATGAACGGAGCCAGGTTTGTCACGTTGCCCCCGGAGCTGGGAACAAAAAGATAGCGAAGGAGGACAGCACATGTTCGGCTCTTGCTAAGGAAGTTGCATGGCGGCGAGACGTAATGTGGCCTGCGGCTGCAGGAGTCTACTCCCACCGTTTTATTCCTGTTACTCGTAACATTTGCTTTCATCACCTTCATCGTGTTCGTTCAGCCGGGCATTATATGACATGATTCGCACCGTTGTGAACCTTCGATACAAATCTCTGACTGTCTCATTCTTTAAGGGTGGGAGGCAGATGGTGTGCAGCGCACCTCAACTCTCCACGCAAGCACTCTTGTCTTCTGACCTCTTGTCTCTTCCTGACGCCTTCGAACTGGAAGACGTCACGCGTGCTGGATCGTGCTGGAATAAATCTCCCCCGCTCGTTGCCCTAGACAGTCTTCAAGACGTCGCCTTGCCTCCCTTTTTGTTTTCTTGCATCTTCCTGCTTATGTCCTTTGTTGAGCGCAGGAGCCGGATGGCGCGACACACACATCACAAACTTTCGACTCTCGTTTCCTAATCTTTTGGTGCATTTTGCAGGTAGACAAAACCAGCAATCCTGCACCGGGCCCGTCATCACCCGTTTCTCGTGCTCTAGGATAGAAACAAGAAAGGCAGACAATGCTAGAACAAAATGAGACAAATACAACGTGAAATCCTGCGGCGATGTTCTCCGGAAGGGCTTGAGAAGGGAAATGAAAAATCAAGAAGGGAGACAGGAAGTGCATCACTGTATCACGGTTTGGGGAAGAACCGAGGCCAAGGCCACATGATGCCACATGATGCCACATTGGAAACGAGAAGGGACTGTGAGGCAACATGCTCAAACTCTCGACAGGAGTCGTCACAATGACTATTTACCACCCCTTGTGACCTCTGCACTACGTACCCGGTACACTACCTGGAGTATACGATGCTGCCTGTTGGAAGCAGCATCTCTTACAGCATGCAAACATAAACCAACAGGACGAACAACGCAGACAGTCAAAGACAAGAAGAGACAAGCTGAAACTTCGGTGTGGCCCAGCCGCCAATGAATGCACATGGGTTGCTCACAGCATCCAGCGGGGCAAAGCTGCTCACCCCTTGCATCTTTTGTTGCACATTCTTCCATCCAGCACACCATCTCAGCGTTGCGGCATGTTGCGGCCTCTGTTGCTTCATCTCACAAATTGCTCGTTCGCCCGGTCCAAACACTTCGCCAACTTTAAGCAAGTACGGGTGGGAAGCCTACATTGCTGTGCACGCTCCTGTTCGCACAGCTCGAACTGAGACTTGCCCCGCCTTGGCACATCATAAGTTCGGAAGTCCTAGTGACGTACTGTGCCAAAGCTTTCAGTATCAAGGCCCATAGCGGAACAGCGAATCATCCGGTGCCATGCAGGGTAGATCCTTCGGAGATTGGCAGCTGTCACCGTACCAAGCAGCATCATCTCCCATCATGACAAGAGGACGCAAACAATGCCCCGGACCAGCAAGCGGAGTGGGCTGCGTGCAGATCTCTTTTTTTTTTTGGTTGCACGCCCCTGGTGGGGACTCACCCGTGTTGGCACGGACCTGCTTGTGGGAGGCTTGCTTCCCATGGCTGGCTTCGGCAAGCATCGTCAAATCCAAGGACTAGTAGTAGGTCGCTTTCGACAGGCGCTTGGACATGGGGACAGTGGACAGCAAGGTGGGCGTTTTGGCGTAAACGACTGAGGCTGAGAACTAATTTATGATCGTGACTGCCTCGCGCAGCCAACATGGCCGTCGACTGTTTCAGCAGATCCGGAGCGTTGTTTTGCGGATTGGCGCCCGAAGCACACTTGCTGCCCAACTCTGTGAGCTGCTGTGGGGACACTACTCAATTCAACCCACCACCGGACTCACCAGGCAATAATTAGTTTCAAATCGCGGCATCGCTGCATCATGAACATTGCCAGGATCAGTCGAATCAGTTGCGCTTCCCAATGTCGCTGCTCGAGCAGCACAGTCATCACGTCGTACCCTTCTCGTTTGCATCGACTTACGCGACGCCCAGGCCAAGACTCTTCCCACAGAGCGGGGCCAGAATGTCATGGTACACTGGTACGGTATCACCAGTTTTGTAAATGGCAGCAGGCCAGAGCGCAATTTAAGGGTAAGGTCAACGGGAGAAGAGATTTCAGCGGAGGATATCTGCGCACTGGTGCATTTTGTTCTGCGAAGGTCCGTTATCCGTGGCAATTTCGGAAGCTTGACTTTGTCAAGTTATCCATTTTGCCTTAGGGGATCACGCCCACTGCCGTGTTCGACGTGCTGCCAGGCGATTTCGCCTTATGCACTTCATTCCAGCTGCTAGCTTTGAGCAACATCTCTCACGGCGAGTGTGACACAATGTCATCGCCACTCATCCACGAATGTCCCATGTCGAGCATTTGCAAGGGCCTCCACAAAGAACACAGGCGAATTCAGAAAAACACTGAGTCAACTTGAACGCTCGTGACATCCGTGTCTCGCCTTCCGTTGATCATCTACCCGCTCTGGGAGCATGGCGACACCCACGACCCAGACGCCTGCACTGCGGAGCACTCGCACGTAGAGACGCTTGAAGAAGCACATCCATCTTAATACTTAAGCTTGACTGGCCAGCATGGCAGGCGGGATGAATGCTAAGCCCACCAATTTTATGCAAAGATCGACGAACCCAAAGAGCACGCAACCCTAAGTCCGCACAGCCTTACCGCAGGCTCCTCAAATCCGCACCTCTGAACCAAGCTCGCCTCTTAAACCTATAACAAGCAGACAATCAAGCCAACATGCTCTGGAGCCATTCTAGACGTGGTGACCCTCTCCAATTTTGTTGGGAAGTTCAATTCAGCATGTTTAGCATTTCCCAGACATCCCCTTTCATGGAATGGTTCGCGGCGTTTCAAATGATTCGTTGCCCCTGTCTCGATGCAGTTTACGACAGGATTGCTGTGTCCGGTCGACTTGCTTTCTCGAGTTGATCATTCATTGATCCTCATTGAATCATTCTTCCCCTAAGGGATCCAAATCCATTGCACGCGTTCCGCACCCTTGTGCCAGTATGTTGATCTGCATCTGGATTAGCCTTCGGTGCAGCGCCTTTCAGAAGGCAAGAATATTTCCACAGAGGAGACTCATGCAAAGTGCAGAAACTGAAGAGGCCAGACGTCTTCAGCATGGAGCTAGGAAAAAACCGGGAGGTTAAGGGTTTTCAATCGCAGCCCATGCATTCGCAGAGTCGACACCATGGTGCCGCTATGTCTTGGAGTCTCTTGCTCGCATGAAATATGTCCCATGGAAGGAGCAGATTTTATCCAGGAATTTTGTCTCTCAACCGCAGAGAATGCCTGTCCTAGGATGCGTAGAAATTGCATCACCAGCACCCTTGCAGCAGTGAGCAAAAGCGAAGGATGTATTACCTCAAGACCTGGACAGTCAAGGCAACAATTCTCAAAATCTGGTGACCCAGCATGCCTGCACTCACCTCTGAAACCTCCACAGACCGCAGGCAAACACCGTCTTCCAGTCGCCAGTAGCACAGCTTTCCATCTCGCCCTCCGCTCACCATGAAACCTGCAAAGGACGCCATGTCCATCACTGAATCTCTCACCACACCATGTTGCCATCTACGTTATCATTAATGCTACTGCTGGGTGGAAGATGCTAAAGAGCACCGTGGATTGCATGGGGCGATTGGCAAGACGGCAATTGAGACTGCTTGAAAAGCCACAAAAGCAAAATACGCAGCAACATATGATCTATCAAGCGCAGGGCAGATTTAGAATGCACACACCACATATCACCTTCCTGGCTGCTCCTTGCAAGCAGATCTCAGCAGGCTTGCTGGATCTTGCAAGTTCAACATGGAACAATGTGCTTGCAAAGCATACATTTCATACCTGCCTGCATGGACTTGAGAGATGCAAAGAACGCCGTCCTGACGTGAAGGGGGCGAGGTGAACTTCCCAAAGCGGAAATTAAGGTAAAGCCGACCAAGTGCTAGATGCGAAAGCAAGCGATTCAAGGAGCTTCGGCATGTCCATGCATGTCATTACACCACATCATTATGTCTACCCCAAACTTGACATGCATCGCGCCATCTGCTTGATCATGCCATCCAAACGCTCGCAACAGGCATCTGGAGTCAGACTGAATACAAGTGCAGGTTGTCAGCTGTGCCCAAGACAAGGCTAGCCCAAGGCAGGTTCTGGATTCAGTTTTTTTCGCGTAGAGGAACTCGGTGGCTGTTGTCAAAGTGCACGCTCACCTAGCCTCGCTGTCAGTCATTACCTCGCATGACCATGACAAGCATTCCAAGGCCCATCACAATTCGATGCATATCACAACATATCACAATGCTGTGTTTGAATTGCATGCTAAGGTTGTACACACTCGCTTCCTGAACTCTTTGAATTACACAACCAAGAGCTTCAGGCGCAAGCGCAAACGCCAACTGGCCGCGTCCTACTGGCCCTTTGTTGGACAGTCTGCCCAACATCGTGTTGCTGTTCTGTCTTTAAAAGCTGAGCTTGGCCAACACCGCCTTGGATGAGATGCCGCAGCACCAAGAGCAATTTCATCTGCAGTGTCTCCTGTCATATGGAATGTCTTTGCTGCCAATTTCATGATTCGTGCTTGGCTAGCTTTGTTTCTTTCCAAGCGCGTTTTTCAGGTCCATGCTGGAATGGCCTGCCACGCTCAAGTGGGGCGTTCGCTAAGACCTGTGGTAGACAGCGTCAGCTTGATTGAGTTGTTTCTTCATTGGATCTGTTCATCAGGCTGTGCTATGCTTCACAAGCGCCATTCTGCAAAAAAATGGAAAAAGCGTGCGGATTGCCAAAGACGCTTGTGAGACTCAATGAGCATGTTCGCGCCTGGACGCACATCTTGAAGCATCTGCTCTCATGGCAGGCCACTGCATGGGAAGTGCAGTTCAATCTGCAGCGAAAGCGCTATCTCTGGTATATATCCGCGCTGCATTTCGCTGTGCGTTGCATACGAGGCAGCCGTCTCAGCCGACTTCCACCCATTCGCCAGGCTCCCCCAACAGATTTTTCAGAAAATCGTGTTTCTTGGTGTCTGCTTGTCGCTGGGGTCCCCATCTTGGGTCATTTTCACTTAAACTAGAGAGAACAAGACCTTCCAAACCTAAAAAACATGCAAGGTAGCAAGAACATCATCTTTTGGTACATTTTCCTAGATCTGGAGCGTCGGCAGGGCTGGGGTGGGCGGCGGCCAGGCCTGCTTTCGCCGCCAGGCCCTAAATAGTGAATAGGTTACTCCGCATCGGTCGCAGACATTAGCCCTGGACTGTACACATGCCAAACATATTCAAAGAATTACAGTAGCTACGAGCCAAAGCGCATAGCCACGGGCAAAGTACCGCACAAATTGAACTTTGAGTCGAATTGGCCACCACCATTTTCTGGAAGTTTTGCATGGGGGTGGGTGATTGTTGGTCGGGCCACGTCCATTCTCCAAGGTGCTGGGACAAGTCCAATGGAAATCAATCGACAAGTTCCCCACACCTCCAACTCCCTCCCCCGCTCCGTCCTCGACCTCCCAGCCCCACCCGCTCCCCCGATCATCCCCGATCCACCTCCAACCTGCAGCACAACCCCTGAAAACCGATACTGCCGAGGCTAAGCCGAACCTACATTCCACAGCCACCTGCGCCTCAGCGCCGAAGCGGCACTCGCGCTACATGGTAGCGGTTATAAGCATGCAAGTGTGGCCTTGGCACATGCTCTCACCCCTCTTGGTCTGAGCGTCAAACCTTGTGTCCAGACATTCGCTTCCGAACGGTCCCAGACTGGGTGTCCCAGATATGGATCTGGCCCTTCTCATCTCCCGCTATGACAGATGCGGCTGGTGTGGAGGGGCTCGCGAGGCACCTACACGCAAACGACCAATCCCCCAACAAGACACCAACATCCAGAAAAACTTTGGCGTGCCTGATCTGAGCATCTCCAACGGGGAAGGTCTCCCGGAGTACCGCATCTCTCAAATCCCATCTGCGCAGGGTCTTGTCCTTGTTCAGCCATGAAATCTTTGACATACGTCTGCTTGAGCACCCGAACGTGCAAGGATGGGGAAACGGTTGCAAACACACGGCAAATGTGTTAGGTGCTAGCTAGAATATGTCGATGGATTTCGCCTTGGTGCATCTAATTCACGCACGGTCCAATGACCGAAGAAGGTGAAATGAAGGGCCGGAAAATGTGTTGCAGATCGACATGTCCACCAATTAGATGAGTCTATAATATTTGGATTGATGGCTGTCATATCATCTTGACTGAAGTCAACGAAGTAAAGGCAGGATTGGAGCTCCATGCCAAGCAACACGGAGGCATGAATAGTTGATTGCAAAGGCAGTTTGGCATGCAAACTGTCGTCGGATTGCTATCTAATCTCCCCTGGTAGCATGGCAATCCTGACCATGCTTGTACTGGTACCAGCTAGTACCTCCGAAATTGATGGTATGTCATGGTGTCAGGAGCGAAGCACACATGCAAATGCAAGAGCCGACCAAGCTCGACTGAGATCTCCACTGAGGATGCTGAGATCATGATCTGCTCAGCCCAGTCCACTTGAAGCGACGTCACCGTAGACGTGTGGGCTTGAAACACATGCAGCCGCCCTGAGGTTGTCTCATCGCTGTTGGATTTCGAAGATATGTCCCACCTGGTTGAGTCAAGAGACTCTCTACCATAGGACTGAATGTACCAAGGAGTGTTCGAGCTTTGTCATGCCAGGTAGCAATTCGATCACCTTGCCGCAACCGCAGAGGGCTCGATGCATCCGCCAGTTGACACAGAGACAGTTGATGCCGCCGGACCCTGCGCAGCCAACTGCAGTCTCAACTGTGCAGCTCGGCCATGGTTTTGCCTTTCCCAGATTTCATCATAACAACAGCCACCTTGCACGTAGCTTCCGTGCGTGGCGTTTGCCGTTTTTGCCGCTTCCGCCTCCTTTCCACAAACCTTTCTCAGCAAGACTTTGGGACTTGCTTCCACAAGAAAGCCTCAACTCAAACAATACAGTATGGTTTGATGAGCCATTCTTACGCCATGTGTGCTTCCAACAGCCTCCCACGAAGAAGTGTTTCTGCGGAGCTTCCACGTCCTTCTTACGCAAAAAGGAACGCCTTACGCCGTGTCTTGGGCAACTCTCTCGGGCATGGTGTCCATCCCTGGCTACATTTGCGTTACCAGAAACAAAAACCGCTGCTCAGCTCATACCCACCCCTGCTTGTTTGACAATACCTTGCGAACGCAAGCTTCTCACATGCTGCCAATGCTGGAAAGAAGGGCTTTCGGGGGTCGTGGATCCTTCCCCGCGACAGGAATATATTTTGAAACGCGCTTCAGTAAAAGAATCGCGCCAACAGATCCAACAAGGAATATCACCGCTGCGAGAAGTGCAAGGGCTTCTGCGCCCGGCAACCGCAGCATCGCGACTCGCACTCGTGAACAGCAAAAAGACCATGAGCGCAAGCTCACTTTACAAGTCTGCTCGCGTGCTATGCTGCGAATCTGGACAAAGTCGCAGCCTTGCGAGCCAATCGCTGCGGTTCACCGCCTGGCTCAGGGCCGTTCCTCATCAGCTTGCTGCCGTGACGAGCGTCAAGCGCAAAGACTGCAGCATGCACCGGACCGACTCCACGTCATCACCCGCTGTCACTATACCGCACATGTAGTGCAGGGACGTCGTCCCCTTCACTAGGCTAGTTCTAATTCCGTGTCGATAAGAATCCTCTACCAGCACCACAAATTGCAGCACAGGGCCGTCGGCTCCTGCACCAGACAAGAAGCACACATCCGATGGGCTGCCAAGGCTAACATAAGCGGAGACCCGGACCCACGTCCCACTGTGCAGCAAAAAGTTAAATGTTGAAAACAGTTTCACGCTTCGCTTCCCAAGACTCAATTGCAATCAACTCCTTTGTGCTAGGGATGTCTAATGTCACTTAAATAACAGGATGTTGTTCTAAATTCTAGTGGCGGTTCTCCAGCATTAGTACTTTCTTGCGCC